TTGCCATGTCAATGCGAAGGGCAGGCATCCCTTACGGATGTTTTGAATTAGAGTGCGACCGGGATAAGCCCCTCTTCCGTGAAACGGTCCGTTTCTTTGTTTTTTTTTCTCTTCGTGGGGGAACCAGGCTGGACTCGCCCAGGCAGGCTTCGATACGTTTCTTAGCTCCGCACGTCATAGATCAGCCGCTGCACAGTTACGTTGGAGCTAGGCCGATCACTCTCTGTAAAGAAAATGTAATATGCAGACCGGCGGGCTGATCCCACCTTCCAAGAAAGAATCAATTCTTCGAAAAGTTCAGTCCAACAAGCCAGGTTCCGCAGACCCAAGAGAGCCCTCAAAATTGGCAATAGCGATTGACGTCATATGCATCCATACGAGCAGTTGGTTGTTTGTCAAATACCGCTCCAAAACCCGCGCGGTTTGACAGGACGCCGCGCAAAGCGGATAATTCTTAGACGTTCGATTCTCGGTGCCAAAAGGGGTCGGGACAACCCCTTGATAAACGACCAATCACAAAGCCCTGTGGATTTTCACATCCCCGGCTGGGGACAAAAGGAACGAATGCAAGGTGGATAAATCCAAAGGAAAGAGGTCCATCAATACACTGCCATTGATTTTAGTTTCATTGCCGGCCGGCAGACCAAGTTCATAGAATCTCGGCCCCCAGAGACTCCACACGCCATCATCCAGATAAAGTGCAAGCCACAAAGTGGCCGGTATGCTCCTCCTTTCTTTCTGTTTGTTGGTAAAAACAAAAACTCAGAAATGACGCAGCCAGGCTGTTGCGATACTCGGCGCATCCCAGCATTTAATCCGCGAAGACTCCTCAGCAAATGTGAGGGACATTGTATTGCAAGGAAATCCTGGCTAATGTTCATGCTAAATACCTGGACCTGAAGTATATCCTAGCGCGTGAGATAGTTGGACGCCAACGACACTCCGGCTTGAATCTGCGGGCCGCTCCGTGCAATTTCACCCACACGATATACTTCTAAAATCGATTCGGGAAGCACGAAGTTGCGAAAAAAAGGTGAGTTGTCGTATCTTTCCGCTCAATGATTTCACACGAAATATGCATACGTACGTTTTTGCATTGCATATTTTGCTAACCAATGCTGTGCTGTGGATACGCGTGGCTGGATGAAGTACGTCGTAGTAGAATGAAATGACATCGTCCTGACAAATTTTGGTTCAAAGAAGCTCACCGACACCGCGGCTCGAAAGGATCCTCTAAAGGCTTATAAAGGCCGAGTTCTTGATCCTGATCTCCGCAACTTCCATCGAAACCACAGTATCGTTTGAGACGGGAAAGAACGAAGTTGGCTTTCTAGCTCTCGAAATGAACCCAACCAAGGCATCTTACCTTTTGTCTGTCGCTTCCATCAGAACCCAAAGGCGGTCTGCTGCCCGTGAAGATCGAATCCCCGGGAACCTCGTGCGGCACAATCCGAGGATACTCACAATGCCGGTCAGCACATTCGTGACAATTCTCTTAGCCAATACTGACGAGTTTGAGCAGATGCCGGGCGTCCGCTGTCCAAATTGCGCAAAACAAGGAGTAGAGACGTGGGTGATACCAGGAAAGAACTGTCACGTCTGTGGCACGGCATGTTGAGCCCACGGAAATGGAGTGGTAACGGCCCAATGGGGAAAGAGGATTCTCATTCAGCAGCATTGACCTACAGCAGGCGAAATCCACGGTGGAAGATGATCTCTGGGATGACATCCTCCCAGACAGTAAACCAGATGTGACCTTCATTGGGACTTCTCTAGACGCGGTGGGACGTTAAAGATCGGTTACATGGGCGTAAGCAAGCTTAGAAGAAGCCGAAGTCAGATCAGATGGAGTTGAAGAACGGTGTTGAAATGAGATGCACCGGTTGTGTGTTATTATTTCATGAGCTATTCTGATTGGAAGGGTTATGTGATGGTCAACACGCTTGTTATGCAGGTCGAGAGGCAGGATCGGGAACTCCGATGGATTGGCACGCGATACGGGGGAGATCATCGTCACTATGGGCATTGTATCAGCTCATGTTTCGAATATGATGGAGATATAATCATAATAGTAATTTCTGAAATCAACAGAACCTGAGTGTTGGCTGAACGCACGCCGTAAACAACAAGTGCATGCAAGCGTTTCGGTATTTTGTCGGAGAAGCGCAGGGGTTGACAGGCCTCCGGTCGCGCAGCCCAGACGCCCCTTCTCTCCGGCATCCAATTCGCTCCATCCAGTTGCTCTGGACACAAAGTCCTAACGCGCAGCCATGGAAAAAAGAGAGTTGACGCTGCTGCTGGCCAGATGCCATTCCTGCCGGCAGAAGAGCTAGTTTAATGTCGTGGATGCAGACCCCGAAGGACTGACTGGTCAGAACTGCCGGACATAATCCCGCAAGCTCATCCCTAGACACGGGCAATCGAGCCAGCGAAAAGACACGTGGCGAGGCTTGCAGGCAGCTGTGCTTGCATCATGAAGCTGTACGAGAACTTGTCCAGGCTGGTCGGGAAACCTTCTGTCTGGAACTCAAGCAGTGCACAGGCCGATGGTGTCGGTGTTGTCGGTCGCGCACCAGATCATGTGCTTACGACACGCTGGTGGGTGCATCCTTCCTCTTTTTCTGAAAGGGGCAGCCGTTTCTGACAGATATCAGAGCAGTCAAGCATCGAGTTCCCTTCTCGATTCTGCGTTGGACAACCAACCACGGGCATTAAAACGACCAGCGATGCTCCAGTAGGCCAGATTGACATACTGAGGGATTTGAAATGATATACGGGGCGAAGTGCAGGAGTGAGGGCAGCGATCGTCGGCAAGTCAGGTCCTGTGCGCTGACGGGCTGACCTCAAGCGTGAGCTATCTGTGTGTCCAGGGCACTCTCCTGCCGTCTTCGAAGGTTGTTGTTCTCGAAGAGGTGGAAACAATCGTGTGACGAAGAGGGTTTGGAAGAGTCGAGCCAGATCTCTGATGAGTATCGTTGTTTCTGGGCAGATGTCTTCCATCCTCGTTGGATGCTTCAACAACCAAAAATGACAAGCTGACCTAGTCACGACTCGACCATGACTGCTTGTTTCTCTTCGAGGTAACTCGTTTCCACCATCCCCTTATCTACAGTTCTGTCGAAGGTATTGACGTCTCTTATACTTCTAGGGAAAGTCTTTTGTTCTCTGATATCGAATGATGTTGATGGCACCACACCAGAGCATAAGTGTGGTTTTCTCTGGGCCCGCTAATAGTGGGAATTCGTTAAGAGCGATCAGCATCCAGCCGATTTATCCCTTTGTAAATGCTTGTTTGCGGCTTGCCTTGTGCACAGCATTAAAACGGCCCCATATCCAGAGCATGACACGGTCATTTGGAAGACAACCTTTTGTAAATGTGTCCGATTCCAGGTCAACCCCTATTTCGCTGCTGAAGCCGGGTATGCCGCGCAAAGAAAGCGCAAGGTGGGTGGCGTCCTATAACACATAGTGTCATTGATTCGCGCTAGCAGATAGCTATTCGAGCCAGACACTATCGGCCCTGCATGTCGTCTTTGGTTGGTGGTCTATATGGCCTTCAAAACTGTCTCGTCGGCTCAGAGGTGTTTTCACCGCCTTCGCTTGTGTTCTAGGAAAAGTCGCAACGTCTGATGCCCTGGTTCTGAAGAGGGATTGCAGTGAGACTAGACATGGAATCCCCGCCATCAGAATCCACAGAATTGCGGTTCCTGACAAGGACACGAACGGGGAATTCTCCGAGGGCTGAACTCCACGGCAGGGTTGTCACTTTAAAATCAGATTGACAGGTCTTAATCTTATATCTTCGCTGGCGTCCGCTGTCATATGTCGCGGGTGGGTCAAACGCAACCGCGGATCCAATTTCCGGCCAGTGCGATCGCTGCTTACGGGAATTAAGCAAACCAGGATCAGTCAGGAGGTTACCATGGCTAAAAGTGGAAATCCTTCGATATTTCCAGCCTTCGTGCGGGACTGCTAGCCCTCTAGCCTGGAAAGGTGCAATCGAACCGTGCGTGTATACGGAGTACGGACTATTGGTTACGCATTACAGCAAGGTTGTTGCATTAGCGTTGAACGGATATCTAACCACGGTTAAATGACGGGTGTCTGCATAACCCTGCTCGTCCACTAGTTTGAGGGGCTGATTGGAATAGTCTGACGTCAAGTTCTCTCCTTACTCGGTACTTTCCTCGTTTGATATCTATCCAGAGCTGTGTCCTCATACGGCTTATTTAGTATGATCGGCTGAAGAACATCACCTGGGGGCGGGATCTATTGTTGCCAATGTGATACACCCTTGGAGCTGGATCTGTTTGTTGATGCCAATTAAATGATAAAACCGGGTGAATCAGTGGACGGAGACGCAAACATCCTAGCACCAGCCTAGACTGATAGCTTTGATTTTGGGCAGTCAGACTGATCAGAAGTACTAGTACTAGGTACGGAGTCCTTCAGCTGTGAGGCTGTCATAGAGAATAATCGCCGAGGTTGTCCACCAACCAGCAGCCAGGCAGAGTTGTACGTTTCGCTAAGTCTCAAGTACATCCATCTTATCAGATATATCCAAAACGCCTCTCTGATGGGAGCGCAAGCAAAACATTTACACAGCAATTAACTCTGAAAAGGACAAAGTGATTAGTAATCGGTTCCACGTGAGACGAGCCCCACCAGCGACCCTCCGCATCCACGTGATTTGACAAGAATAACCCCCTCAGTCCTGTCCAATCAGGATGTCTGTTAACGTCATAGTACTCCTCCACCCACGAACCCGATTATTCAACAGAACTCAGACCTATATCAACAACAAATCCATCATCTGTTCTTCTCGAAATCCGTCGGCAGTTACGGCTGTACGCTTCTCAGGAGAGAGAGACAGCGTTAAGAATCAATCAATCCAACGGTGCTCCTGCATAGATCTATTTATTTATCACAGGAGAAATACATACATACCCCCTGTTCTAGTCCCTATATATATCTATCGATATATCTACTCCATTACCACCATGCCAGAAGAGAAATACCCCATCGGAAGCCGCTCCGAGTGCGAGAAGATGGTCCGCGACTGGGGGTTTTCGCATGTTTTTACGTGGACGGATCCGAGGTGAGTATACATAAGATGTATTTATTTATGTAGACAAGTACATACTACATTCATACATTAGAATGAATATGGAATATGGAACAGTGTATACCTTGAATAAATAATTCTGTCTTATTAAGATTTGTTTGTTTTCTTTTCTTTTTTTTTAATCGATACTTCCTCTCTTCTTCGACTTTCTTGGACTATTTATTATCTTTAATCCCTCTACCCCCCTCCAAAAGAATCATCACCAATGACTATAACCAAATAAATGAACACCAATCCTAATCCTGATCCTAATCCTCATATACACATCATACTAACCAATCCTTATTTTTTATACAGCAACGCATACTACCCACCCCACTCCCACGCCGGCATCACCACCCACCTCATCCGCCGCGGCTCCCTGACCATCACGTACCCGGAGGACAACGCGAAATTGCACAATGGCCAAGTGGTCAAGGAGACGTACGGCGTGGGGTCGAGGATCGATGTCCCTGCGGGGAAGGTCCATGAGGTGTGGATTGGGGAGGAGGGGTGTGAGTATGTTATTGGTGAGTGAGTGAAAAAATAAATAAGATTGAAGAGAGGGGGGAATGATGGGGGGAGAGAGAGGATGATGGGGTGGGTTTGGTTTAGTTGTGGTTTGTTTTGTGTCCTGGTTCATGGGGGAGTGTATGTATGTAAAGAGTATATACCTAATGTATGGATGGACTTCTCTGTTTTATTTTTTTGTCGTGTTTATATTTATTTTCACTTCCATTTAGCAGTTCTATTTCTTTCTTATTTCTATTCTGGATATACATCATATACTATAGAATCCAATTCGTCTCGTCTGTACAGTATAGTAAACGCTATATTGCGAAAGCAGATTTCATCTTTTTTTTTCTTTATATTTCTTGTAACATCGTCAAAATATGATCCCGACTCGCAAGTATCTTATGAGACGAATCGGAAATCGAGTCTGTATCCTCGTTAGTCAATCAACATACAGCTGACTGAATATGGCGAAAGATAAAGACGCACCGCTTGTTCCCACTGTCCTTGTTGGCTGCCAAGTATGCGTCGCGTTCTTCCGTCGTCATGGCGTTCCATTTTGCTGCTCGCGTTCTCACACAGGATTAGTTGTGTTCGGAGAACGGCAAGTTAAAAGCGCTGGTTTGTGTACACACCTGTTTTTCCAATCATAGTAGATCTTTGCCACGATAAACAGGACAAAGCTGTACACGCTCAGCGCGATGAGCACCTTGTTGCCTGTCCGGTACAGAGGCTTGTCGTTGTTTCGATAGATCTGATTTCACAGACGTTAGTATCATGCCGCATTTGCTAGTCGGATGGCAACTCACGTTATTCGCAATGATGTTGCTTGCTTGCACCGTCATATTGTACAACGCCGAGGCCACCGTCCGCGTCCGCACCGACCCGGCATTCCGCGATGTCATCGCCACAATGGCCGCGTGCATGTATGGACTCCCGATCAGAAGAATGAGGATCGCCCATCTCGACCACGGGCTGGCATCCGCCGGCAGCACCTCCAGCGCGATCAGCAGCACGAGGTTCCACACCTCCGCCATCGCGCCCAGCAGCAGCCGCTGGTTGATGCGTTCCGACACCCACGTCCAGAACGCGAGATTGATGATGAAGATGACGTATGCCGGGATGGTCAGCAGGTTCGTCTGGAACGTGTTGAACCCCAGCGACGTCAGCTGCAGCGTGATGTAGTTGGACGCCGGGCTGGGCGGGATCATCCACGTCAGACCCAGCAGGTAGATCAACCACATGTCGTAGTCACACAGCGCCTCCCAGAGCAGCTTGGGCGTCACCGCCTGGCGGTTGTGCATGGTGCCCTTGCTGGGGTCGTCCCGGATGACCCGGTTCACCATGATCTTCTCTTCCCTTTCGCTGAACCATCCGTTTTTCCCCCGGAAGCGGCCAGCCGTCTGAGTGGGAGACGGCGGCATGTAGAACGCCGCAAAAATACCGATCACGCCGGTGATGAGACCCTCAAGGGCAAAGAGATACCTCCAAGCTTCCTTGCCGTTGTGAATGTGCAAGAAGCCAAAGGCAAGGAACGCGCCGACAATGGCGGTGGCTTCGTAGGTGATCCAGAAACCGCTCAGACGGATAGGAAGCTCTTTCGATTTGTACCAGTAGGAAAGGAAAAGGATGGTGTCGGGGATGCTAAGTCATATTAATTATCAAATTACGCAAAGATTAGAACTCAGGACACTCACAATCCACCCTCGAACAGACCGAGGAGCGCTCGACAGGCGAAAAAGGAAGCTCGACCGGTCAGAAAAGCCTGGCAAGAGGCAATTAAACTCCAGCAGACCATCTGAATGGGAATCCAACGGTCTGGCCCCAGCTTCTTGGAGACGAGTTGGGAGGGGAGCTCTGCACAGAGGAAGCAAATATAGAAGATCGTCTGGCCGGTGTTGTAGTCATTCGTGTTCATCTTCAGATCCGCCAGCATGTTGTCTGATAGAGCCTGGACGATATTTCCTCGATCAAGCTGCAGCGCGAAAAACGTAAGACAGGCGAACGTGCAGATCCGGAGGTCGATCTAGCAGAATGTCAGTTACAAGAACAGCAATTCTAACACTCATGATTTACCTTTCGGACGATCTTCTTTTCTTCCCATTCTTCCCACTCAAACTCAGGATCCCAGCGATGGATACCCTCGTATGTGTCAATTGGCTTGTAGTAGCGGATATCTTCCGTCATGTCAAAAGCAGCATCCTCCGCTCCCTGCGGCCTCTCCCGTTCTTCAAGAGACCGTGGAGTCGAGTAACCGGTTGTAACTCCATCTTTGGCGCTCTTGGACGCTGGAGATGGAGCGCTCGGCTGCTCAATCCCTGACTTGAAGTCCTCTGCAGCCATTGAGTCTTAGACAGTGCTTGGATGCTTGACTATCTGGTGCGGCAAGACAAAAGAAATCTACAGATGAAGTTCCTCCACGAAATATAAATGCCGAGTCGACTGCGGCTTGATGAGCTTTGCTGTCTCGGCGTCGTCCAGCTCAGAGCCAATGCCGTTCTAGTTTAGGCTGTTAGCCATAGGTGAGCAGAAAAGACCTTCTGTACTTGGTCTAGGCTTGCATCTGATCACACTTCGACCCGTAGCAGCGGCGGATACTGCGGATAGACCGGTCCTCGTGGCAGAGGGGAGTCATTATCCAGCCGCCAGTTGCCATAGCGGCTCCTCGGGCATCAGATAAGATGCCTTGATTCAATTAGATCCATGACAGGAGTCTCTTCTGTCCATTGGAGGATCTAGTGTATTCTGAGCGCATAGACCAGCCGATTTGACACTGACCACGCAGGGACATAGACGCGACGACAGTCGACGACTATGACGGCTGGCGCAGACACGGACTGTCATCTCTGGCATCAACGCTGCCTGAATAGCAATTCAGATCGAATGAGAATAGCAGCAACAAGGATTGCGTGCAGGCATGTGAATTGACGTTATCACGGGCGGGGCGATCCCTGTCTCGAATGCGTTGTTCTGCATTGCGTGATATCACGCAAGCCGGCCAAAGTTGACGTTATCGGCGAGGAATCAGAAGGCAGCCTGTGAGCCGGGACTGCCAGTAGAATGCGGAGTACACTCGGCAATAAAGCAGGAGATTATTTTTTGTTTTTTGATTTCAAATCGCAATTTCATCAGGTCGCTAGATCATCGCAGCAATCATCAGAGTTTGAGAATAATGAAGAAATAAAGTTGTTTCGTCCCAGTTGACCGGAAAGTTGACAGCAGACGGGCGGATGACTAAGCCGTGGAGACATCGATACACCGTCAACAATCGTCGTAACAATAAACGTAAGAGCGGATAAAATCCATGAAACCATGGTTAGGCATTTCTGTAGTGGGGGCAGTGGTTATCTGCAAGTCCACAATGATTGGGGTTGTTTTCCAGGCTTCAATGCCATTCTCAAACAATAAGATAGAGGAATATACACCAACCCTTACGACGACGCTGCTGGTTTATATATACGTTGCCTGCATCGTACGCTCGACAGCATTTTGGCTCTGCTGTCATTAGCACGCCATGACTGTTAATTGTTCTGCATCAGGATCGTCGAAATAGCCTATACTGGCAGGCCTTGTGCAGAGTGTTCTGTATGTACAGATACAATCCCATCTCATCACGGCAGATCTGGGGAAATGACGGAATGTGAGCACGATATCGGAGCCTAAATCATGCATAGGCATTCGCCAGCATTATCCACGCATGGTGAAACTTGGAAGTAGCCTGGGGCAGATTAGAGATCAATTAATATTGCGAGATTGGACCTGATGATACGAGAAGCGTTGTAGCATGGGAACATCCATTGAAGAAAGAACACAAACTGTAAAACTATACTGTAAAACTATATGGATAAACTCTTTCTAGAGTCTGTCTCCATCTCTCCCTCCCTCTCTCCGGTCTAACGTCCATATCTCGCAAACTGTATCAGAATCATCTCCATGGCCGAAATCGGGTCTTTCGCCGTTGCATTTTGCCCTGATAGGAAAGCTGCACTTTGTAATGTACCTAATGTACCTAATAATTGCCTAGAATCGTCTGGAGAAAAGAAAACGGATATTTTATTCGCCAAGCAATCCCAGACGAAGAGGTTGAACCGTTGATGTCAACCCTCCCCCAGATCACGCCATAAACGGCAAAATCGAAAAGATGCCGATTTGCCAATGACAGAACAGCGATCGATCCTTCAGACTTGGATATCATGCTCGTTAAACTCTTGACGATTACCCAGCCCCACCTGGGCCTTGATTGATTACGATTTATTATTGGGAAAAATGGTCCTATCTGACGTGGTTTTCGTATCAGTTACCCCGCAGAGACATTGCGCATAGGCAGAGCGAAAGCGGGATGGATGATGACGAGGATGATGAAGCGTGGAGGGGGGATGAGAAATAATAGTCTAGGCGATGGATAAGAGAATAAAACCCCAGGTGTTGCCACTGCCATCGTTATCTTCAGACTGACAGTCCTATACTATACCCATCTCATCTTCATCAACACACCTAGTGTATAACCACTGTAGAGCAGCACAACATGGCACCCTCCCTCGTTGAGACAGTCCCTCTGCGGGCTGCCACGACCATCAAAGCCAAGGTCACCGAAGGATTCAACAAGGAGAACGTCGGTGTGACCAGCTCGTACGACGAGAAAAAGGAGCTCAACGGAACGGAAAAGCACGCTCCTGCGTCGTTCCCTCACTACCTGCCCGTCTGGGACAATGAGACTGAGAGGTGGGATGGAAGAAATCATCCGCAAGCAGCACTTTTTCTTAGAAGATAATAATTTATCTTCGTCCTGCTGACTTCGTATCCAGATACCCTCCCCTCGAGCCCTTCGAGCACTACGACCACGGCAAGGACGCCGACCCGACCTTCCCGGACCTGCTGCCCCCGGGCAAGGCCCAGATCTCTGAGATCACGCCGCTCATCGGCTCCGAAGTCCATGGTGTACAGCTGAGCCAGCTGAACGACAAAGGAAAGGACCAGTTGGCCCTGCTGGTGGCTCAGAGGAAGCTGGTTGGTACGTCGTACAGATCACCATCGCCGCCTTATCTTGCCGGACGTATGTATATCTGACTGGGTGATACGCCATGCAGTCTTCCGTGACCAGGACTTTGCCAAACTGCCCATCGAGAAGGCCCTCGAGTTCGGCGGCTACTTTGGCCGACACCACATCCACCCGACCTCCGGCGCGCCCAGGGGGTTCCCGCAGATCCATCTCGTCCACCGCAGCGCCGACGACAAGACCGGCCTCCAGTTCCTCGAGGAGCACACCAACTCGGTGACATGGCACTCGGACGTCACCTACGAGCAGCAGCCCCCGGGCACGACCTTCCTGTACCTGCTGGACGGTCCCACGAGCGGCGGTGACACGCTGTTCGTCAACATGGCTGCCGCCTACAAGCGTCTGTCTCCGGAGTTCCGCAAGAGACTGCACGGTCTGAAGGCGGTGCACTCGGGGTTCGAGCAGGCCCAGAGCAGTCTGGCCCGAGGAGGCATCGTCCGGAGGGACCCGGTTGCAAACGAGCATCCCGTTGTTCGCACGCACCCGGTATGTCGACAGTTTCGCTAAAGTCAGGAAGAAAAATGAACTGACAGATCTATCCTATCAGGTCACCGGCGAGAAAGCCCTCTATGTGAACCCACAATGTAAGTTAGAGTCCACACTGGAATAAAAAAAAGAAGAGAGAGAGAGAAAAGGGGGAAACACCACAGCTAACATATCGAAGTCACCCGCAAGATCGTCGGCTACAAGAAGGAAGAATCCGACTACCTGCTCAAGTTCCTCTTTGACCACATCGCCCTGTCGCAGGACCTGCAGGCTCGCGTCAAATGGACTCCGGGCACCGTCGTCGTTTGGGATGTACGTATACGCTCTTGATAAGCTAGCTTTACGCATATGTCCTTTTGCGTCTATGTGCATACGTACTAACTGTCTGCATCAGAACCGTGTCACCGCCCACTCGGCTCTTCTGGACTGGGAGAACGGCCAGAGACGCCACCTGGCTCGGATTACGCCGCAGGCGGAGCGGCCGTTTGAGACGCCGTACGAGGGTGACGAGTAAATGAAGACAGCAGCAGCAGCAGCATCGAGGGAGGAAAGAGAACACTGTATTATGGCCCATTCATCATTTAATGATTGGATGAATAGATGGATGCATGCAAATACGTCTATATATTCCTTTGAATGAGTAAGCTTGCATGGATGAGGAAAATCAGAACCATTAAACAAACAGCCATAAGGGAGAGTGGCTGGTCTAACCTGGCCGTGACTACGATGTAAGCCATCACTTTGTATTGGAACGAATAGCCAGTCCCACGTGTTCATGGTTGATTCTCAATTGTAGAAGTACTGTCCGCGGTAATAATTGTAGGAGTATGCGATATGGTAATAGCAGATGCTGATTCCCGGCTTCTGTTCCGGGATAATTGATATTTAGCACAATGGGAATTGCGAGTATCCTCCCTTTACTGCTGGCTTGTTTCTTCAACATTCATGTGATGGCGCAAACTGTACAGGGATGACAACCCTATGACACAGCGTACAAGACTCGAGTCCACGGTATCGAGAGGCAATAAAAATAATGGCTTTGATTGCATGATTTGTACAGCCACTCTGCAGTACTTCCACCACAAATTGATACAATCGTCCGCTTCATCAAATCAATCCAATGTTACGAACGCTTGTCACAGCTGAACTGTAGGAACCGATTCTTGTCCAAACTATCGTCCTTCTTGTCATTTTTATTTCTGGCAGGGTCTGCACGCAAAGTGTCCATCCGTCTTGCTGGTGTCAAGTCACCTGAAACAGGGAAATGAGTATCGTCTGACATTGGGGCATCTTCCACAGGAGAACCGTCATAGTTGTACGCAACTGAAGGAAAGTTTGCAAATGTCGACTGGGGACAGCGCGTCAGGGGTGGCAACTCCTGTGAACTCGAGCTGGTCGGTCGAGTTGGCACATCCGCCGCATTAGCCCAGGTGTTGCTGCTAGAATGATGTTGCATCATGATAAGCCTGTCCGACGATGCCTGTGAGACGAACAAGGCAGGAAGAACTGCAGAACCTGTTGGAATCTTGAGACGAGTGATATTCTCCGACATGATCTGAGTGCGCACATCTTCAGCACGGTGCGACTGTGACTCGCCGTCCTCCGAGTTCGTGTCCATCTTCTGTTCGTCGCCACAGGTTCTTGCAGAATCGTGTGCCCTCTCTCTTGGTGTCAATGACCCTGGATCGTCTCCATTTGCCGGCAAGAGTGCTAGATCCTCCAGATGTTCCCAAGTGATCACTTCACCGTCAGCGAGCGGGACAGATCCAATTTGCACGTTTTCATTGGGATCTGAAGACATAGCTCAGAAGTTCGGAGTTTCTTCTGACGATTGTCAGGCTTGATTGGATAAAGAGTGAAAGGAATACTTTTCCAGACCTTGGACTTGGTGTGAGAGTCAGTACCTGCAATGGAATGGCAGTCGTCGCTGATGGAATCTGCGATTCGATTGTTGGACGAGAGCAGAAGATATATACGTTGGACAACGCGAGCGTGGAAATTTGATGACTGAACAGTTTGACACGTGCGAACCATGAATGCAGCATTGCAGGAGGGAAGTCCTTGCGTGTCGACCATGTAGAAGCGTGCATGGTCGAGATGTGTTCTGTTGGTCCCCGAAAGGAAGGAGTCGTGCTGCGTCGCACCTGCAAACGGAGATGCTGCATCCCAGTCCAAACAGAAACGCATTCACAAGCAAAGGTAACAAAGCAATCATTTTGACTTGGCTCTTTCGAATCGGCTGAGAAAGCCAACGTTCCACTCCTGAAACATCCTCGCAGACAGCGGTAAAATACCGTTGCTCCGTCGCAACGACTCGACAACCTCAGTGAAGATGCTCATGGGCAAAAACAGCTCTTCCAGGGAGATCGGTGCTGGGCGGCCTTTCTCCGGCTCAAGAAGCCCTTCCACATTCGAGACATCTTGATAGAAGACCTTCAGCGCCCGTCTGGCCATGACGCTATGGTCGACGCTGCAACTCGAGTACCGGAGGTCGGGGTTGAAGACCCAGAGCTGAATGAAGTCAGGATTTATTCAGATCTATATAATGCAAACTGATTGTTTCAATCGACGACATACCAGCATACCACTTTTCCCTCCGGCGTGAATGACAAATCTCCTCACCCCTTCCCGCTGGATCAGCTCGAGCAGTTGCGCGCTTACTATCGTCTCTGTCGGATGATACTCCAACGAAGGGCTTTCACTCTCGTCATCCCTCTTTTCTTCTGGGGCCAACTGTTTATGATCCTCAACCGTCGGTCGCTTCGCACATATATTAGCTTTGTAAAGCCTCCATCCAGCAGCTACACGGTCTTCCATGCCCAGGATGGCACCGCAGCCTTCACATTCTACATTTACTCTGGTGGAGGAAGACAGTCCAGAGGAAGTTGGGGCGGTCACTTGCTGCTGTAGTCAAAAGAATATGCATTAGCGACCGATTGACCAAAAGAAAACTCTGGGAAAAACACATGAAAACAGACAGATGATCACGCCAGCAGACGGAGAAGCATCTACAAGCTCATAGAGCCAAGATATTTACACCCTGAAGCGCCTACCCAGCCAACTGCTTAGAAACATCATAAGTGAGCTTTTTCTCCTGGAAACAACATAGATAAATGTACCCCGCCGCTATCCAGCGGATCCCACTTCTCTGGGCATGTCCATGTCCATGGAACAATTTTTCCGCTGTGAAACAAACGAGGCGGTTTCTACTCTCATTCCCCCCATGTCGAGACAAAAGCGACAACAGAATCAGATCGTGCAAAGAATAGCAGTAGTAGGAGGTTGATGGCAGCCTCGAAAGAGTTCGGGTCCCTGAAAAAAGATGAAATCCGTCTCTGTTCTTGTAAACAGGAAGATATCTATCTTTAATCCAGGCGCGAATCTTTCGATCACTGCATCGACCTCCGTACCACGTCTTCCCTGCAGAAATGAAACTGTTGCCTGCCTCGAGGAAGGGAGGGAGAAGACGAGGCTTTTCTGTCCCTGATTCTCAATCTTGGGCAATAGTATCGAAGGCCAGATCATGGGCTCAGATGTGAGCGAAGAGGCCTCCTTCTTCTTGCCCGAAGTGGTTGCACATTTGCACAGAACGGTCGTGTCTACGGTAGGCGCTATGTAATAGGAGGGGGAGGGTGGTGGTGGCAAGTCGCCACCGGGAGGAAAACTTTCAAGGAAGAACTGGACGTGTAAACACAAGAGCACGGTCTTTATTTCTCACCTTCAAGCCCTGGCAGTCCACCTCCGCGACCAAGAACGACGCCACATCGACGAGGATCGTTCCTGGTGTGGCCACAACCTGGCTGGCTGCTCCGTAACCTTTTATTGAGGCGTTTCGATTCTCGACGGTTTTATGTTGCTCGCGCTCACGTTCATTCTCATGCTCATGCGGATCTGGTTTGTGGCAATGCCAAAAGTCCATCATCTCCGCCCAGTTCCCGCTGGGAAGATCTTTCCACGTCCAGCCGCTCCGGGCAGTATCTCCGCTGCCATTCTGGGTTTTAGCTCCATCCAAAATGACGCGAGTGCAGAACCGACAGTGTAGGGACGTGCATGTAGACATATCCTCCGCCGTCCACGGAATGAAATCGTCATCTTGAAGGCCATCAGTTGTGGCCGTGTCAACTCCCTCATCCTTGTCTATCGGTAGTCGGAACGAGAACTCCCTTCGCCTTCTATCAGCAGCGTTGACGTTGTCTTTGACGCCGACGCGGTGTCCCGCGAAGTGCAGACTTCTTCGCGACGCCTCACTAACTCGCGCAGGAAGCTTCAGTGTCTCCGTCACTTCGACCTCTCCGTGGGTAAAATATACTGTCACCGCCCGTCGCGACTCAGAAAGAGAAATATCGGATGTCGCATGCTCGCTAGACGACGCTGATTCTGGCGAGTTCGGCGATGAGACATAGAGCGTCAACTGGCGAATATTTGGCAACAGTTCTGCATGCATGTAGATCGACGAAGAGGCAGAGGCGTCAGAAAGGGACGCAAGTTCTTGGGATTGCGACATTTTATCAAACAAGACTTCAAACGCATCTAAGACTCGGCAACGCGTCGTGAACCTGCCACATGTGAGCGATCAAGCGAGTACCTCTGTCCGATGACTTCGTGGCTTGCTTGCATGGGCAAATGCGTAGGCTGGTATAAAATTTCCTGGTTCTGTGAAAATCAACGATAAACAAATATCACTGCATCATTCAGTGTGTATGCACAATGCCACAGGGCCCGGATATGAGCTTGAAGGTCTGTCTCTTGCAAGCTCCAGAGCTGAAGCTCTGTTGTGGAGAGAACGCGTATGTAGCAAAGGATGCAAAGGATGCAAACTGCAGATAAAGCACTAGCATGAAGTCACGTGACTATAATCAGGTGCTTACTGCATCGGGCAAGGCTCGACTGGTCAGTCCTCAACGTGAATCCTTTGTCATTGTCAAGTAGAATTGCCATTTCTCATTACATGATGACTGTTCAGGTCCTATATTGGATCCTGCCAGCTAACTAATTTTCTCCCTGTTACAGTACAAGAACGACCAAGCTTCGAATCTGGGCTTGAAAATGAATTGATAACCAAACCCATTGAATGCCTTGCTCAACAATACAGCTAATCTATAGACAATAATAAAAAGACTAGTGCAATACACTTAAACAATCCGTCATGTATATGTCTAAGTTTGCACCCATCTTGTTCACTAAGATTCAGGCTCAGCAGCCTGCTTAACTTTAGCAAAGACCTCCATGATGAATTTTCAGACAGATCCTGCGCCCCATCAAGCTGATGCTCTCTCTCCTTCTGGATGACAAACGTAGGGACACCAGAAACGACAGATTCGCTATTAGCCTGCTGGACCTCCTCGTCGACCTCTTTCCTACCGAGGTGATGAAGCATGAAGTTACAGCACTATTGTCGCATATGTAGTCACTTCTTCAGCCGAAATGCCATAAGAGTACAAATCCAGAATTTCTCAGTCTCAAGGAGACAAGTAGATCAACAAAGACAGCGAACTTAGTACAACTCCTTTTATATATCGGAAGAAGTCTATCGTAATACCCCAGGGACTTAGCGGAATGCGCTATTAACGGTGACCATGATCCTTCTCGCACTGCCAAATCACCTGTACCGAACGCATTCAGCTACGCGCAGCTCGAACTGTATGCTCGCTAACAACATAGGGCAAGTATACGTTTCTGCGTGCTGGCCATGTATAGTGTTGAACACGTATATTTATTCCCAGAAAATAGTATGCCACTAAACATTCTATTCACCGTATCAAACAAGATACATCGGCGACAAATCGATGTCGAATGCCGTACCCAATGATAGATCGATTCAACATGAATTGCAAGCTAATTGTACACATGCCATCTGGCGAAATAATAAAATTACAGACCACGCAAGAAGTTCGATTCGCGGATTCCCTTGCGTCTAGCTTCCCGGGCGCTCTTGGTAATCTCTGCCCTCTTCTCGAGACTCTCGGCTGCTTCGGCCACAATGTCTTTGGGTCCGTCATCGGTTCTGTTGTACGGAGCGGGAGTGATATCTATCGACTGTTCGTGGAGCGGAACCTTGGGCGGTTGCGATGCGGCGAGCGCGGCCATCTTCTTCTCATATCGTTTGCGTTGCTTCTTGGTCATGGCTGCTGGGAGTTAGAAAAAGGACGAATACTCGGCCAGTGCATAACCGTCAGGATATCCTTACAGCTTAGATCCACCCCGCCAGTCTCAGAGTCGGACTTCTTTTTCGACTCATCTAACAACGTCCACAGCCAATCCGGGTATTCTGAGTCTTCCATGGCATAGATATCGGGCTTGTTCTTCATGTAGTTGAGACCCTGCAGTTTCGTTCCGGCAGGACAACTGCTGGGCGGTCGCTCCACCGCCGGCCTTGCGGGCTTCTCTGGCTTCGCTGAGGGTTTCCCTTCTTCTGGCGTGCTCGCAGGCTGTGATGCGCTGGGAGTAGCTGAAGGTGTCGCCGACGGAATGCTAATAGGTTTCTTGGCCTCCGGCGGCTGGCGTGGGGTTGGAGGAGGAGGCATAGGAGCATTGTCGCTGTAGAGGCGGACCTGACTCTTGACTAACGGGGACAGACGAGCGCATGACGAAGGCGATGCGACGACATGTTGCTGGAATTGCAGCCGGGAGAGGAGATGTGTTCGGCACCTTTGGCAGATCATTGTGCTGGGAGTATTGCAGAGACGCAGGGAAAGGAAAGGGAAAAGATCAAACAGAGTTTTATATTTGCATCAAAGCAGGCCAATGACGGCTGCAGCGAGGTAGCTGGCCTGGAAAGAAGAGTTGAGATTGGATGAGCTGAGGTCAAAAAAATGCGGAATAATGAATTTGTTGCGGACGCCGGACGGAGAAGTCAGGTCACGTGCAATCGGGAGCTGGTGGTGACTAAGCAGAACAGTCATCCGCGGTTTCTCCACCCCCGCAAAGACGCGATGACACCCATATCAACGTTACATGCTCATCGCCTTATTATCCAAATACAGCTCATCACAGTGGCATAGTAGATTTCAATCTACGTGTCTATTCCAATGACGAGTAGCCAATATGTCTGCAAGTGTGGCGAAGTTGGACGTGCTCTTTATTTGCTCACGCTCGAATGAAAAGAACACCTACTGTCGAAGCTTACAGAACCCAGTGATTGCACAGCTATTCGAATGAATTATATAATACCGGAATCTATCTCTACCATACATGACAAGGATTGCGACCCGAACTAGAACATATACATTTCCGGACCTCAACCCTCTTTTCCCATCACATCTAAGAGACAATGGATCATGCAATGCTGTATAAAACAATTCGAACACGAAGTCGACAACTTCCTGGAGATGCAAGTAAAGACAAAATGAAGATATGAGAACGGAGCCATGGTCAGTGACCTAGTTTGTGAGCCCACTAACACGCAGGAAATTGCATATGTCAACGCAAGCATCTGTCAAACTCTTCTCCGTCTTCCATTCAAGTTCCTGCCAGGACCTCTCGGGTACTGCGACACAGTAACCGACGTCGCCAGGGCGCCTTCCAACGGCTTTTCTGGCGATTGGTTTCCCTGATACATTTTCCATCGTCTCAACCACCTCGCGGACTGAGTGGCCCTGTCCGGTTCCGAGGTTGAATGTCCGGAAGTTTTCGCGGATCTTTCCCTCATTGGCGGCGTTTAGGGCTGCGATGTGTCCTCTGGCGAGATCAGTGACGTGGATGAAGTCCCGGACGGCTGTGCCGTCTTCGGTGTCCCAGTCGGTGCCGAACATCTGAAGCTCTTCGTATTGGCCAGTCATCACTTTCACGACAACCGGAAGAAGATTGGTGGGAATTCCCTTGGGATCCTCACCAAGAAGGCCAGAGGAGTCGCATCCGATGGGATTGAAGTAGCGGAGAGCGACAATCGTCCATTCCGGGTCCGATGCCGCGACGTCAGCCAAGATAGCTTCGCACATCCACTTGGTTCTGCCGTAAGGGTTGGTGATTCCAGTGCAACCGGGCTGTACAATTCTTTCGAGTCCGTCGTTGTCTTTGACGACTTCTTTTTTATGGACGCAAAGTTCTTCCTTGAGCGGAAGGTTCGACGTTGCGAGGGTTCCATACACTGTTGCCGAGGAAGAGAAGATGAAAGTCTTGATTCCGTACTCGCCAAGAACGCCAACAAAGTCGATGAGGCCGCTGACATTGTTTGCGTAGTACTTCAATGGCTGTCGAATGCTTTCTTCCACAGCCTTGTGCGCAGCAAAGTGGATGACACCGGCTATCTTTGACTTTGGTGAACCCCAGCGGGATGGGAGCTTGTACTCCTCGAGGAGCTCACGCAAGGCGTTCATGTCCCGGTAGTCATGAGAATGTTTCTTGAGCGAAGGCATAGGAGTACCTTTCTCTTCGTGGTACTTGGCGGCCAACGTTTGGATGCGATCGAAGACATTCTCGTAAGAGTTGCTGAGGTTGTCGATCACGATGACATTGTAATTCGCTTTCAGCAATTCCAGGGTGGTATGACTGCCGATGAATCCGAGGCCTCCTGTCACAAGAATGTATTGGTTGTCCGACACCAAGTCCTGCAAGCGATGGTTCAGGTCATCATCGAATAAGACGGATTGTTGCGTCGCCGGGGTATCTGCGCTTGGGGGTGAATGTAGGAGGAGCGGAGAGCCGGCTTCACTCCGCTCCGGGCTGTTCACGTCTGAAGGGAATTGGGACATCTGGAGAAGCGACCGACTCAAGTTGGAAATGAGCAGCAAGTACTGTACAACGAGCGGCTAGGGTTAGGAAGACTTAGGGGGGGAATGATCGTCCCAGGACTCTAGGACACTTATTATATTGGGGGCGCTGGCCGATGTTCGATCAGACCATAGCAGAATCACACAATCTAGATTTCCCCAGACACCTCTTCGTGTTATTTTTTTTTCTTCCATTCGATCCGAAGGAGGATCTGGGTGGCCACATCGCCAGTGGATCAGCGAATGTGGTCCTATGGACTGGGATCTGGAAGTGGATTCGTCGCGATTCGCTGACCGCATTTACGCTCATGCATCTGTGACAGCGATGCGCCCAGATCCGTCGAGCGAGCAAGCCACAAAGATCCTCTTCGGAGGGCTGGATGGCAGCCCTGGTTCATTCAGCTCAGTGTCTCGGGCACCAGGCACGCCCTCAACCTTCTATTTTAGGAGCGTGGGTCTGGCTGATTTGGACCCAGAGGGCTTTATTTAGGGCCGTATGGGAAGGTCGGCGCTATTCCGCAACAAAAAAAACCATACTAAGTTCCTTCAACCGTGCACTACTGGCTCCCTTACAGTGCAGCGATTCCCATATACTACCATGGCACTCGAAAAAAATGTTAGGGGCGGCGGCCTTCTCAGGTCGAGACGCTGCCGTCTCCTTCTTGGAGTCTTCATCTTCATCGCAATTCTCGCCGTGGTCATTCCCCCAGCGGTTGTGATAACTCTGAGGAAGAAAAACAGCATGGGTCCGAAGTCTACGGTCTTTGTTCCATTATACGTTTACCCAGCGCCTGGCGCCTGGACGCCACTGGAAGAGGTGTATGTGCTGCACCCCTGTCCGTTTTCCCCGCTGACTTCCGTACAAGTACATGGGCATCAATCTTCTTTTTCCATTTTAAACGAGGAGGATTGTGCCATGTGCTCAGTCGGATGTTTTCCATTGATTGAAAAGGGAACAAAGTTGTTAAAAAGCCGCCACAGTGTCAAAAGCCATCCAGACGTCAACTTCACCGTGGTCATCAACCCAGGGAATGGCCCCGGGCCCAATCCCCTGCCCGACGCCAACTATACGCGCGAGATCCCAAACCTAGCTAGCTACGACAATGTGCGCCTCCTCGGATATGTGGCCACCACATATGCGACGCGAAACATCAGCCTGGTTCGCAAGGATATCGAGACGTACGCCGCGTGGCCGACCCAGAGTGCCAACCGGTCTCTGGCCGTGAACGGGATCTTCTTTGACGAGACACCCCAGCAGTTCGATGCTAATGCCTTGGCATATTTCCAAGAGCTGACTGCGCTAGTAAAGCAAAGCAAGGGTTTGGGGCCGGAGAACTTTGTAAGTCGTTTTCCTGCGGTAATTTACGTTACAGTATTTTACGGCGGCCACTCAACCCTAAAGTGTTGACATGTATTTTTTCTGCGTCTGCTCACGCATCAACAGGTCGTCCACAACCCGGGAGCGGTACCGGACCCTCGCTACCTCCCGACGGCGGACTCGACGGTGGTGTTTGAAGACACGTACGAGACGTTCGTCCAGCGGAACAACGCGAAGATGTTCACCAACATCGCCGATGGCAATCGGACCGAGCTGTGTGTCATCATCCACTCGGTGCCGGACAGTATCCAAGCCTCGGCGCTGCGCAGCCTGGTCAAGGATACGCGCGAGGTGGCGGATGAAGTGTTCATAACGCACCTGAGCAGCGATTTTTACGCGAATTTCGATCCGAACATGGGGGAATTTGTTGACCTGATGGCGAAATCGTGATTCACTTAGCTATGCAACTGTTACTGCGATGCCTGGTTTGCACTCGGTGAGAACTTGACATGATGAAGACTCTTCTTTCTTTTCATCTCATGTCGCAGGATGACCTGAGAATTCTTCATTGTATGACTGTCATCACTCCTGATACGTATGCGATGAGTATGACGACCAAAGCAATATAAAAAATACTTCGTTCCTTCTAGAAGCTGTTGACAGCTACACTTGCGAAGCTACCATTCTACTAAGGTCTGACTTTATTTGGCATGACGTTACTTTGGCAATCGGTGGCTGGATGAGCGTATAGCCCCAATCCCCATGTCCACGTGTATGGCGTATTTTTTGGCCCCGTAAGAGGATGTTTTAATTACGGCGTTCGATACAGCATTAATTACAGAACAATACCGTACGATCCCGACCTAACCCAACAGGGCTAGTCGTAGTTAGCTGCCGCCCTCGAGTTTCAAGTTTCAACCCGTAGATCTCATGCATGTCTACCTACTCGATGTACTATACATAGTAGAGTAACATGTCCTAAACCAATCCGACTGACTGGCAACTGCGCACTGCTATTTTTGTTACGAGAAAGAAACTTCCTCCTGCCTAGCTAACCTACGATCCAATGCATGCGATTGCAAGTTGGCATCGTGTTCCATGAGGCGCTTAGTTTGGCTTAGCTTGGCTGCTTGGGTAGCCTCGATGCCAGTCACGCCATCAGGGCAGGGTCAGCTTGAAAAGAATCAGATGTCGATCAAGAAGCTAAGCGAGCTGCATGTAGGCAGCAAGCAAGAGAGCTGAGAGCTCCTTGCACTGTGCATACATACACAGTACATGCACAGAGTATGGAAGCAGCTTTTTTTTAATATGTCATCTGTGTGACTTGCTTAAGTTTTGATTTGGATTTGGATTTGTAAGTCTTTTTTTTCTTTTTCTTTGTGTTGTTTCCTTTCCTTTTTTTTTTATTTTTATTTTAGGGTTCAGGTTAAGCAAACCTTCAAACCTTCAATCCCGCCTGAAAGAAAGAAAGAAAGAAACAACTCGTCCCGTGTCTTTGTCCCAACAGAACTGACTGACTGACTTGCTGAGTGGTCCAGCTGAACCTGAACTGAACGAAGACAGGACAGAAATAAAATGCCCAGAAATTGCAAGATGCTGACCGCATCACGACAACGATGACGTGCCAGAAGACAGACATGTATACACCACGTATTGGATAAGTTTCTGCCAAGATCAATATAAATATGTGGGGAATATCGGTGATAATAAATAAGAAGACAAGAATTTTGTTTAAAGGGCATTTCAAGGCGATAGGCTGGGAGGAAAAGAAAAGAAGGGACTTACTTGGCGAGGCGAGATCGATCTGTATGCATTGCGTTGTTCCAGCCTACTGTATGTCTGACTACACAGACAGGAAGACATCTTGGCATGTTTTCTTCCTTAGGTGTCTAGGTGTCTAGGCGTCCAGGTGACTGACTGACTACCTTAGGCACATACACTACTAGTAGTCTAGTATATTGTCTGACATGGATGAGTCGGATCACCGGCAAACTAGTACCTACCTACCTACCACAAGTGGAGATTCGAGAACACAAATGACAGATTGCATGTGTAACTGCAGCAAGCAAGCAAGGAAAATGGGAAATATTGCCGATATCCCTTGTCAAGTTGTCGTAATAATATTCCGAGACTAGCTGTCAGTCAGCTAGCTTAGATCTTAGCGAAAAGCAGGAAAAAGCAAGGAAGAAAGAAAGGAAGGAAAAAGAGCCGACGAGTTTGAGTTTGGCAACTGACTGACTGGAAATTGTAAGCGAGAAAGTAAAAAGTGACGAGCAAGGAGATTAATTGTAAAGTACATGTACTGTACATCATGACGCCATCGTACATGCACTCATCACACTGCATAATGTAACTATTACCATGCACACAGCAGGATGGCAGAAGCATTCATTAATAATCCTACATTGTACAGTACGTACTACTATACTAGGTATGTTGCACAGTACCTAGGTAGGTAACTACCTCGGGCGGAATACATTATTATTATTACGGCGATAACTACGTGTACTTTGGTAGGGCTGTAGATGAGATTAGATTAGACTCAAGTGGAAAAGTTTCCCGATCGGCATTTTGTCTACTTTATTATACTATAGTACACTGCGTTATACTGTAGGTAGATAGGAAACCTGGAAAATACATAACTGAGTATTCGTACAGAATAACTGCGTAAATCATCCGTATGTACGTATGAACAGTACATATCTTACTACCTAGCATAATGACAAAAACTGAAAGCGAAAGGGTAAAAAAACAAAGAAGCCAAGTAAATGGGGCGAAATTCCACTGGATGGGTAGTGTCGAGATCCATGGATGGATGTTTCCTTCGCTTTCCCGCTTCCGTTGGTTTTTGTTCCCACGTTTTCTAGAAGACAAATCCTTCCCATAATAATAATAATACATGTATTACTGACTGAACGATTCAACGTGCTATTAAATTACTATTAATATTATTGCCTGGTGAATGGACATTATAGCCTGCGGACAGAGTGTACGTCTGAATCATACGATTCCTACAATTCCTACCATTTTCTCGACAATACACTCTTCCCAAACTTAATCAATAAGGCTTTGCCAACTGTGCTACCTAAACCCATCACACAGCGCTACCTACCTACCTACCTACCTACTTATCCTACCCTATGCATGTCTTAGCTGAGACTGAGAGGGCTGAGAGGGCATGACTTGAGGTGAGGCAAGTCATTTACCTGAAGTAAAGTTTCCGATCCAAGCCCCATCCGAGCCACGTGTTTCCAGCAATTCCATCCATTGATTCATCCACCGCAATACAACAACCATGCAGGAATCCTTGATTGATCCATGGATATGGCCCTGTCTCAGGAGTCAGTCTCAGGTACTTACTGTACTGTGTCTGGCAGACAGGTAGACAGGGCGAATGTAACGTTGCAATGGGATGAATCATCCTGATGGTACTGTACTCCGTACACGCAGCAAACATGATGCAATATTAGTTGAAGGGGTAAAAATATCACAGCATGCCTGTGTCATGTGACGGCTGAGGGACAGTATCTGATTACATGATCTAATTAACCCTAACCCTAACTATCCTCAACCTCAACCTGAACCACGGGTGATGCATGGCATCTTTTTCCTGTTCCTGTTGCTGGTCCCGTTCCTGACGGATGACGAATGACTGGTCACAAAACCAGCCCCGGTATGTAGTCTCGGGATTTGATGGTGGCGGTGCTGAAAGAAACCTAAGGTTCCAAACACAATGACACATCACACTCCAATTGGATCTCATGGATCGGCAGTAGGTACAGTACATATAGGCAGGTGGCTTCTCTGTACTCTGTACATGGACTAGGTCTACACTCCGTCCTCGTATCCCGAACCGAACCAGAGTTAAGTTCTTACTTAGTGAGATCTGGTGGGACCGTGGGGCGAACCAACCAACAACCAACAACACTAAATCGGGTCCTTAGGTAGTTAGAAGAACCTTAGGAACACGTAAACTGGGTCTGGAACATAACAGCCATGTACCAGGTACAGGGCCTGTACCGGTAATACAGTACTAGTACCTACACCCCCACGTAGCTATTCCCGGTCCCAACGTACATAGATACCTACTCCATCCATGGATTTCATCTGATGGATGATAGAATCATGGACCCCGTTCCTGAATGACCCAAACTTCTCTTCTGGCTTACCCCTGACTAATACCAGAACAGAAACAGCCTTTTTTTTTTCCCCCAGAACCCATACTGATCCATACTGATCCATGGAATGGCTATCCGTCCGCGTGGCATGGCTAGGCATGGGCTCTGGAAGATTCTGTACATTGACATTTACAGTAAAAGATACCAGACAGACCCATGAAACATACACAATTGAATCTCATCATTGTTCCTCGTGCAGTAGGTAGGTAGGTAGGTAGGTATGCAGGTAGGCAGTCAGCAAGATCCGTGTTTATATACCGAAGTACTGTATATACGTCCGGAGTATTCGGATGTATCTCCGATATATATATATTTATATTCTTAGTTCTCGATGGATTGATGGTGGGCCTGGATGGATCCTATCCATAGTTTTTATTTGTTTTTCTTTTTTATTTTTTTTTAATTTTTAATTATTTTTTTTATGAAAATGTTCGTCATTCATGACTAAAGAAATATTGCTCAGAGGGTTTATTTTATTTCGTTTATTTTATTTTATTTTTTTTTAATTTCGTTTACCTTGCTTACGAACAGAGTAGCATAAAGGGATTAAACTAGATAGATACATGTAATGTATATGATTTTTTTCCTATGAGCAGGAAAGTGAGTACTTGATCTGACGAAGCATTTCGAGTCACGTAGTACTACACTGTCTATCATCATTTGTGAAAATCGAATTGAATATTGCACGTTGAGCTAATCTAAGGCAAGGCCGACGAAGCTTGATTAGGTGATTTATTCCTACACATAACATCTAAATACCTATGTATACCTTATCCTTCAACGCCACCCTGAAAATACGTCTAGCAAGTCTGGATCCAGTTGTCGAGATCAATATTCTTGATAATGGTGGAGAAATTCGCCGCGCCCTCAAACGAACACGCCTTGATCTTCTCGCCCGTAGAGACCGGCAGGTCGTTATTCGTGTCGTCACCTTTCGGGTACTCGATGTGAAATACGGGTTTTCCCGCGTCAATGAAGGCTGCATACGTGTCGCATTCCTGGTACTGCGCGCACTGCTCGTTGACGCTCCACTGCATCTTGCCGATGACGGACGGGATGATGTCGCCCGCGTTCTTCAGCCCGATCGACAGGTTGCGCGCGTGCGCCTCGTCCGCCAGGAAGTTGACGTAGTCGATCGAGTCGTCCTGCGTCAGGTGCAGGCCGTTGTCGTTGTCGTAGCCGTCGACGTTGTCCGGATCGACGCCGTCGCAGCCTTTCTCGCGCGCCAGGTCCAGCCGCGCCGTCATGATCCGCCGCACGTTCGACGACCGGATGTCCAGCCATTTCTCGTCGCTCCAGCCCTGCAGCGTCTTGCCCAAGTCAGAAGACTTGAATTGATCCGCGTCGGGCCGCCAGTCCTCGTAGCTGCCCGCGGAGAAGTAGCAGATCACCCGGCGTTTCAGGGCATGGAGCTGCTGGATCGTCGAGACGGTGTTGTTGAACAGGTCAATGTCGTACACCTCTGCGTCGACAGAGGTGTCGTTCAGCGGGTAGAGCAGCTCGATTTGCCACGTCGTGCGCACCTTGGGCTGCCAGGTGGTCGTATTAATGCCAGAGGGAGGCGTCGGGGACGGTGTTGGAGTCGAGGGCTGCTCCTCTCCGTTGTTGTTGTTGTTGAGGCCAACGCCCAGTCCTACACCCAGACCGATTGCGATGGCCAGAATGAGCAGTAAAACTAGTGAGACCACCAGGATTTTCTTCCTGGTCGACCAGGTCCGCCAGCCCGCCGTCCCGGCGTGCAGGAAGGGCTTCTCGAGGGGCATGATGAATAAACGGAAGCGATGAAAAGTTGACAAGCAGCCAAATCAATTGACCGTCTTTCTGACAGACAGAGCGCGAAGCTCTACAAGACGCTAGTTATAAACCACCAGCATGGTTCTTCACCTGACAGAGACGAAAAAGGACGGAGCTGTGACCAGGCTGATGACCAGAGGAATGACTGCAGAGTGGTAAGTAGATGTAGACTTTGGAAGACTCCGAGAAGGAATTATTTTTACTGCTGTGTAGCGCTGGCTGAAAGAAGGGATTGATTATTCTTCAGCTGCAGTTCGCATGACCTGGAATAAAGTTCGCGTTTGCCCAACCTTGGAATATACGCCACAGCTGTGGCTGTGCGAGCAGACAGTACAGCAGTCCTTGCTTCAGGCTGCAGCAGAGTGCCTGGCATCAACCGTCTTAGCTAATTTCTCAGCGTATCGCTACTTCCCAAAATTAGGCAGTCTGCACTGCACTCTGCAGTGGGAGCCACATGCGACTAATCGAGATCGAGGATCTCGGCGAAGCGAGCCCGGGATTGCTGGAACCTCACCAATCGCCGATCGCGCACACCTTAACTTAATTACTGCGTATGTATGTACGGTACCGTACGGTATGGTCACAACACCGCTCAGGAACCAGCCAACCAAACTAACCAACCGATCGTGTCGATCCACCGGGCCGATAACTTTAACGCAACTGCGGTCTATACAGCCATCTGAAACAGAGCGCAGCATTTAGCATTATTATTATTGTGCAGAGAAGTCTGTTCTAAGAAGTCGTATTTCTATCTCTCTACTGACAGACTTCAGTCTGGTCATACATACATGACAGCTGCAGCCGCCAAGACGCTTCAGCTCGGCGCTCTTGCAGGCTATCCCATTAGAGAGGTTTTTATTGGCGTTGTTTCGCCCTGTTGAACACGAACACGCCCTTGACTCGGCACTTCCTCTAATATAAACGATGCAAGGCTGGCTGGCTGAGGTGAGGAGCCTATGCGAAGTACTGTACGTATTATTATTGTGTGATCAGAATGCCAAGAAATAAACTCCCTAAAAAAGGAATCCTCAGTCACGGACTGGACTTACGGGCCAAAATGGAAAAGCCCGGATATCCGCCGGCTTTGGCCCCCGCTTTTACGCCCTACTGTACAGGTTAAGGATCTGCAGGTCGAGACCTTGCTTTCTTGCTTTCTTTTGACAAGTGTTCTAGAATTGTCCCCAGCTTGCAGAAATAATATGACTTCTTCGAAGAGATTGTCAGCAGACAGTTTAATTATATTGTGTAGTAGTATGGACAAGTCACACAGCACTAACATGTACTACTGTACAATGTATGTACAGTACATGTACCATGTAGGTAGTCAGAAATAAACCTCGTAGCTAGTCCAAAGGTATTTTTTTTTATTCATTCACACTCCGTGAAGCGGGCTTTTTTTTTCCCTTTTTTTTTCTCTGCTTCTTTTTTTGTTGAATTTCCCTACATACGTCGTATTTCTATCCGGTTCGGTTCGGAACGGCGCCGATGGACCTTACCTACAGTAGATACCTAAGTAGGTAGCTGGTTAAAACTCTTCGCTGTACTGCGCAATAATCTTATTCTTGGTACGGAGTAGTTACTTCGTATCCAGCCCCAGTTGTGGCCCACTGTGCCACCCACAGGTGGCGTGTGGCGTGCCTGAGGCTGGCTATATACCTAGGTATGTACCTACTCCATAAGTTAGGTACAGTTTTGTTAGCATTGTCGATCACTACTCTGGAAGGAAAGTTGATGCAAAAACCTAAGTATACCTACAAGAGTAAAGTCCGCCACTATTATTCTCTGTACAGAGTACCTAGTACCTACATGTACATACTTATGTACGTATATAGGTACTTGACTAAAGGACAGGTCACAAATTGGCTTGTTTATAGACTGACTTGATTTTTTTTCTTTTTTCTTGTGATGAGGTAATGTGGATATATCGATGTGATCTCGATTATTATTATTGATTGGATTTGGATGGAATGAGTGAATGAGGTGGATCTACTTTGATTTTATATCCTTTCTTTTAAAATAAATAACGAAAAAAAAAGAATAAGAGTGTTGATTGTAAGTACATATGTACTCACTAATTCATATTATCATTACCTAGCTGCTGCATTTTTTCCTTCTTCCAGTTCAATCTTGCACATTATACACTACATCGAAGATACAGTATGTACAGACATATGTACATACATATACTGGTAGTACTGTAGTTATAGATTACAATGCAATCGGCTGCGACAGCGTAAACGACACCGGCGACCCCATCAGGTTCACCCACACCGTCAACGGGTCGCTCCCCAGCTGCTCCGTCGGGTACCCCTTGGTGCTGGTCGGCGGAACAGGGAACGTCACCGGGATCGGCGAGTTGCAGCTGTTGCCGTTGGCACAAGACACGGTCACACCGGTGATCTTGCCGTTGTTGGTCGTGTAGCTCAGCGAGTAACCGCAGGCATCGCGGGCGGCGCGCGCGGCGAAGGAGGCGGACATCTGTCATAAAACTTGTTAGTAGATATCAAACTAGCAGAGTAAATAAACGAGTACGTACATCACTGTGCTTCAACGTCACCACCGGCCAGTCCGCCAGACGGACAAACTCCTGCACCTGCGTTTCCACCCACGCCTGGAAGAGCGACAGCTTGGCCGACACCCCGTTGATGGTGATGTTCGACGCATCCGCGTTGCGCAGATTCGCCTGGTGGAACATGTACGCGTCGTGGTACAGGCCGAACAGGTGCCGCATCGTGTCCGCCTTCTCCTGCGCCAGAAGGTCGTAAAACGTCCCCGATCCCGCAGACGTGTCGATCCATTCCTGCGTCGTGCACTCGGGCGTGTCGCAGTTGTAGTAGATCCGCGTCGCCCACCGTCCGTTCACCTGCATCCCCGCGAATCCATCCGACTCGACCGTCGTGATGTACGGGTGCATCGGGTTCTGCTGGTTCACTAGCGCCGGGCGCGTGTTGTCCCCCACGCAGTTGGTGATGCCATTGTCGTGCCAGGCTCGCAGGGCGTCGCCGTTGTGCAGGCCCGTAATCGCCGGCGGGATGATGCCGTTGGCCGTGAAGCGCTTGGCCGACGAGATGCCCGTCTGGTTCAGCCACGCGATGTTGAACGAGATCTCCTTGTAGACGTCCGAGTAGGTCGCGTTGTTTTCCTCCTCGTGCGTGAACGTGTGCGAGATGTGCGCAAACTTGTCGCGGTTGGTCGGGTTGGCCCACCAGAGCTTCAGCGGATCGAGGTCGGTGCAGGCCGTCGTCCAGTCGTAGACAGTCGGGGTCGGCGGCCACATGTTGGTGCCCGTCCCCAGCGGCTTCTTCCACTCGAGCGGCGTGTCGGGGATGTCAGGGTACTCGATGGCACCGCCGTTGCAGGCCCGCGAGCCGTTGCGCGTGGCCGAAGCCGCCTCGATGTTGCCATTGCCGTTGTGGCCAACCTCAGGGAAGTACTCGCTGCCCGGGTTCAGCTTGGCATTGACCTCTGGGATCCAGGCTGCAATGCCGTCCAGGTCCTCCGGGCGGATGCGGAACGTGGTGCCGTTGGGCAGGTAGATGTCGCTCTCGAGGAACATGTCGTCGATCTGCGTGTTGAGGTTGACGCGCCGGTAGCCCGCATACAGCCCGCGCGTCAGCCAGGTGATCCAGGCGTGCTGCAGGAAGTTGGACGTCGGGCTCCACGTGGTGTCGAACGAGGTGAAGAAGGCCATCTGCTGGCGGCCGTTGAAGTTGTTGATGACGGCCGCCGTGCTGGTGCTGTTGTACTGCCCGTTCGCCGCAAACTGGGCGATCTCCTTGGTCGTGTTGGTGTCGGTGATTGTGGCTGGATAGTGCCACAGCCCTTCAGTGCTTACGGCCGCGCCAGGCCCCGTGCGCAGTCCGGACGTGGGAAAGTCGCTGGTGTCGGTCAAGTAGATCAGCTGCTCGGTGTTGTTGGCACAGCATCCCTCGCCGATGGCCTCGGTGCCGTAGTTGGGCCCCGGATACACGTCGTACTGCACCATGCGCACGCCGTACTCCAGCTGGTACGCATACAGCTGGTTCCATTGATCGGCCGTCAGGGCACTCTGGTACCCCGTCGTCCCGCCATAGTCGTAGCTCACTTCCGACGCAACGACGATGCCGCCGAAGTTGCCTCCAGCGCTGCTGTTGAGCGGAGGGAGGGTGGTGCCGCTCTGGGGCACCAGCAGCGTGGTGAACGGGATGCCGTAGCCATTGAGGCCGGAGGTGGCCGTCTGGGCCGAAGAATTGTCCCTGGCAATGACGAGAATCGTCGACTGGACAGTGCTGGCGCCCAAGGCCGTGGCATTCGTGACATTACTCAGCGAAGTGGCAGCCCCGGCGGGCACCGGAGACGTGATGCTGGGAACGAGCGAAGTGAGAGACATGGCAGATGACTAACGAGCGACAACGTTCATGGAGAAACGAACGACTGGCGGACTCAGTCCTGACGAGCACTGTCGACGAGCAGGGCAGCAATTGTATTTATCTCGAGCAAACTGTCGTAGGCGAGCCCCTCCGCACTATCAGCACTATCCAGCTAGGATTGAGCCCGGCAACCGATGCCGAGGCCCTAGCCAATCCTCGCCATGAAGAATGTACAGACTAAGCTGTGGCCCTGCATGACAGCCGGGGTAGGCATAAGCAGTTCTGCATCACATTTCCTGATTCGAGCCACGGTGCCAATTGTCTCCGCCAGCCACAGGGCGTAAGGAGAAGCACAGCTCACCCGGCGGCCATTGGACATGTCTCCCGGCTGCAGATCGGTCGGACATATCGCGTGCATATTCGGGAAATAAACTATACGAGCCGGGCTAGTGTTTAGCAGCTAAAAGTAAGGATATGGGGGCGCGCAGTAAGCAGTTTCCGATTCGGGTTAGCGAGGATGACAGAGATCCATGGCGTGCGCTACCTGTCGATCGCGATGTGATGTGTAGCGATCGCGTAAAAGGCAAGTTGCCCCTGAGCACCGGGCCGGCAATCTGAAACAACCGCGCAGTCAGCAAGCGGGTCGAAGGGATGGATATGGATGAAGATGATGGATCCAGCAGAAGCAGATCTGGGGCGAATGTGATACGGAGCTCCGTATGGCCCGAAACCGTGACCGTACCGTACCAATACGCGCGTTGTGACTGTCACGGCCTGTATCCGTACGGTACTGTTACCCGACACAAACTTCGCCGGCCGACGCCACAGCCTGGACAACTCAACAACTCACCGCTGTCCAAACCTCTTCCTCTCCATGTCACGATGGAACGCTCCAGTGGGGGCTTGCGCCGTATACGCTGTGCCTTGGATCGGGCAGCGACTCCGGCCCTGTCCCTAGCCGCTTGTCCAGCGGCTACCAGGCCGGCAGTGGCTACAGCCTACTGGGCGACCTGCTGCATGGCCAACGCAAAGCTACCGTAACCGTAGCCCCTCGCCGTTCGCAGAGTGAAGCGTCTGGCTCGACAGCTCTTCGGCCCTTGACCCGCTGCCCTGGATTGTGCGACCAGACGGCCATTGGTTGGGGACAGCACAGCTTGCTGGCCTATTTTTATACTCGCTCAGCCAGTCGATGTTCTAGAAACGGACCAATGATCCCATGCCCACCGCAATCGCTGGATGGCGGGGGACAGACAGCTCGCCCCGAAAGTTTCGTCCGGAGACTTCGAACTTGCTGCTGTCAACATAGCTTCTTTCTTTTTATCTTGTCAATCTCGCCTTGGTTGTCTGCTTTTGACAGACACTGGTACCCCGAGGCACTGCCAATTCGACCTTCATTCGTTGCTGCGAACGTCCAGTCCAGTCTGACGTTTGGCGTTTCGGTCTTTATGTCATGGATCTGTGACGCAGTGCCGCTCGTTTGGAACCAGAGCCCCGTGGGCTGTTGATTGTACAGACCTTAGTAATTTCTCTCAACCGCCCGTTAGGATTTTTAGAGTCTTTGTACGATTGTTGAGTCAAAATGGCGAAAATCTTGGAGGTCACCCCAGTGTACTGGCAGGGAATGCACAGTCACTGGTGGCAGTTTGTATGTCCTCATGACGAGAAATCCTGCTGTTCAGGTACTGACTCGAGTTAGGTTCTTGTCGCATCGATATTGGCTACCTTAACGGCTGGATGTGGTTATATCATCTACTCGGTAATATCTAGATTATTAATCTCATGGAAGGTACGTCCTCGAGTTGAAGTCCTCTAAAGTACACTTCCAGGCAGATCTAATGGATTTTTTTTTTCGTAGTCACGAAAGCAACCAGAAACTCTTCCCAAGACGATAGAGAGTCGCCTCTCTGCGTTTGCGAGACAGCACCTCAACCTCATCTACGGCCGTCAAACCGAGAAAAGACCGTCATCCTTCGGTGTCTATCTCGGCGGGTTCCATAACCCGATCACAGCGGCCGAATCGAGGCTCCTGAGCCAATGGGACCTGCTGATCGTTGATCCGCTTCGCGAAGGTGTGGCCGACGCGATTGCTTCTGCACGCGAAGTAAAAGCACTGGGGAGGATCAACTTGCGTCTCACTGCCTCGACGGGCTCCCTGGATCAGACGGTCGAAAATGTCATAAACACACTGGTTCGTGCCTTCTCCGGCACGGCATTCACTGGCGTCCTTCTGGCAGACTGGGAAGAGGTATTCAGTGGCCCGGTTCTGCGAAAACTGCTCGAGGCTATCAGGGCAATCGGCTTGGAGGTCTACCTTGAAGCGGCCCCGCCGGATTTCCTCAAAGATGGAAAGATCCTGCAGGCGGACTCCGTCTCAGGGCTGGTCATGAGAAACGCCAGTATCCTCTTCAACGGCGAGAAGCGAGACTATTTCCAGATGACATCACTGAAACCCACCATCAAGGCGTTTGTGTCGGAGGCATGCTTGCGAGACTTCGTGGTGATGGCGTGGGAAACGGTCGACGATAATGTTGTCCTGTCCAACGCCGTTGTGCGGAGAGCTATGCAGTGGTGCAACTTTTACAGCGCCATCACCTGGATTGGCTCCAAGTCGGCGTTGACTGATGCGACTGTCAACCTCAAGACATGCGAACCTCTCTCCGCGTTCGGGTGGTTGAAGGAAGCCGACATCATGAATGTGCATGACATCTGGCGATCCAATGCCACGATTCTACAACAGGCCGCCGACAAACCGGAGTGGGGAAGACTCAAGTCCATCTTTCCACGATTAAAGGAGGTGTTGGCTTCGAAGGAATATCCGCCAGCAGACCGAAGCCCGTCGGATCTGGTCGTCCAGGAACCGCCAGAATGGGTCTCTCAGACCAAGTCGCTGGGCAACCCATTGTCGATCTCTGCTTCCGGCGTGGAATACACTGCTCTTGGCTGCTTCCCTCTGGGGTCTGAAGTGACTGACACGGCCTTCTCGGAGATTCTACAATCACAGCAAAAGTTGAAGTCCCTGAGCGTACTGCATCCCGTCCCCGCAAACAAGGTTCAGAGCATTGGCTCTCTGCTTCGACAATTTCATGACACTTTTCTTTCGTCCGATTCATCCTTCGAATCCTCGGTTGTCGCGGCGGTAAAGGAGCTTTCGACTCTGGCCTCGAACAAGTTCGTGCGGGTGTACTTGGGTCTCGATTCGGGTTTCCGCAAAAGCTCTGAAAGCCGTTTCTGGGCTGTCTACCAGGCGGACGCTGACGGCATTGACATCTTCATGTCAAAGAATGCCCAGGGTTTGGTCGGTACTGTCCTTCACACGTTCCTGTCAAGCAAGGGCTTCCCTCGTCACATCTGCTTCGAGGTTGAGACTGCCCTCGCAAAATGGTCAAAGGACCTCGTGGAAGACACTGGCCTGCCACGACGCCTGGTTCAGGACATTGACGTTCTCACCCCAACAGAATCTCTGCTTTATCTGCGGCATCTTACCTTGACGGACACCAAAACTGAGCTGAACGACACCATCTGTGCCTATATCCGCAAGAAGCTCATCGAAGCTCCGACTCTATCCCAGCTGAAGGATCTCAACACGGCTGGTTACCTCAGCGGTGAAGTAAAAGCTGAACAACTGATCCAATCTAGGATTTCTTGGTACCGCAACCAAGGTTGTCAGCATCCTTCGCTGCAAAGGTCGCTTGCTCTCTTCCAAGAAGTCGAAGGCATCTTCACGGAAATCCTGAAATACCGACGGGAGAAAGATCTTGCCACCATCACCAGCGCCATGAGCAGTTTGATCGAAAAGGGCCGTATCGATGCTTACGCGGACATTTTTGCCCTGTCACTGTTTTGCGCTGCTAGGAAGGGTGCATTCGATGAGATCTATGCCGAAGTGACCGATCGGAACCCGCTTTTCAACAATCAGTCTGATCAGGCAGCTGCGTTTGCGGAGTCGTTCGCTCTAGGGTCTCGCTGTGAGGCCTACTTCGACATGTCTCCGAGCGCCTTTGGCAAGCTGCTGTCGGACCGGTTCAGAGCGTACTACAATGAGCATCCACCACCTCTCTGGGTGAATGGAGCTCCAGAGCTGGCAACGGCGTATGCAGGTGCTCAGATCGATGTCGATCCAGAGGATGCGGTGAAACCAATGCCTGGATACCAGAGATTTACCTTCCTGAGTGTCTTCGCGATTCCCGCCCTCATCGATATCATCCTCCTGACTTTTATCGGTCGGGGATTGTATCTGTCTGCGTTTATGCCGTACGAAGATATGGAAATGGCAACCACGGCTCTGATGATCGCTCTCTTGCTGTCGGGTGCTATCGGCACGTGGATCTCCTGCGGTGGCTCGTACTATCTCGTTTCAATGGCATTTTCGGCGATGAACATGTTCATCCTTATTCGGTTCATTGCAGGCCTCGCCTTCACGTTCGTGGGCGGACTCATCGGATTTATTGTCATTTCGTGCGCCAAAGGACCGCGTTCTGGAATCGTCTTCTTCCTGTATCTGTTCGCTCTGACGGCATACCTCACCCTCTTTGCTTCCATCTCCTGCTTCAGCTACCCTGGAAGCGCTTTCCTCTCTGGCAGAAAGGTCATCATCGCCTGCATTCCGCTCCTCTTCTTGTCGCCGATCATCACCACCTTCACCGGTCATGACTCATTGGTGTACCTTGTTGTTCTCTATGCGTTTATCGGCCTGTTGATTCTCGGGCTCAGATCGGTCGGTGCAAGCTGGGTCACCTGGTATCAGAAGATCCGCACCACAAATGACGCTGAGATCCGGCAATGGTACCTCTCCACCTATTCCGGAAACGACGAGAAGGCCTTTGAAAAGATGAGTGATCCTGCAGCCCTCAAGCTGTCTCGAGAGGCGCTCTTACGTGCCGTGCTAGCGGAGAGAAAGAAGAGCATCTTCTCGAAAGCCACCGAGGACAAATTGGTCTTTGAGCTGGCGCGAGACTGGGATTCGACCAACTTCCTGATCAACTGGTATTGCCGCTACGCCGACGTTCCTCGGCCTATTCCTTTCAGTTCTTCGTGGAACATCCAGACCAAAGTGGCACTGGATACTCTGCGGAACGCACAGAAGGGAATCCGTCTGCACAATGCCTTCATCCATTGGCGTCAAGCTGGGCAGGAGGTTGGCTGCGGAATGCTGTACTTTATCGTCGCCCTTATGGATAAATGGGTTGAACTGCTCTGTGGCGGTCAGCTCGTTGGTCTTTCGCCATCTCTGGCAAATGCATCCCGCATGGCGGTTGGCCTGGGCCTGGCGTATTATCTGGTCGGCGCCGTGCTCATCGACACCAAGGCCCAACAGCTGCATGACCTCATCGGGCAACACACTCCTCAGGCCGTAAAAACGGCGAAGGATATTCGAGCTTCTCAGAAGCGGGACGTGCGGTTGAAAAGACAGGTCTACTGGACCACGCTCTTCAAGTTCTGCATGTGGCATGTTTGGAGCTTTGTCGTCACGGGAATCCTGATCTGGGTGTTCCAAGAGTCACTCGAGGCAGTGATCCTGTTTTGTGCCTACGTGATTGCGTATACAGGTCTTCTTTGGTACCAGTACACCAAGATCTTCTCTGGTCCCCATGCTCTGAAGCCACTTCTGGCGGGAGTCTTCATCGGTCTACCAGTCGGCATTGGAATTCGCGCGTCGCACCCCCATTTCATATACGCCACCGTCATCTCACTCGGCGTTTCGACGTGGTCTACTGCAATTCTGTCAATGTGGACTGCCAAGATAGGAATGCCTAAGAAGGTGCAGTCGCCCGTTGAACTGGGCAGGACCTTCCATGCCTATGTGGCCCCCTGGTCAGATCCGGAATGGTCGCAGCAAGAACTGCAAACGTTCTATGAGAACATCATGTCGATGCCCGAGACCTCTCGCCTTCTTCTCGATACGCGCGCCGATCTTGGTCTCCAAGTCAAGTCCATCCTGCTCTCACGCAAGGCGGAACCGAGGATCGGCGAAGCGTTCCCCAACTTTGAAAACCTCGTTCAATGGACCGTCGCGGCTTGGGAGAGGAACAAGATCTCGGTTGAACTCGTGTATCAGCGCGAGTTGGGCCCAGGTATTCGTGCTCTTAGCTGCACTGGCGACGACCACTTAAAACTCTTGATTGCCATTGGCCACGCGTTTGAAATGCACGAGAATACCCAAGTGATTGCGGAAACCCTTGTTCACGCGGCAGC